AATTGGTGAGCCTGCCTCTTAAGCTTGCCATAGACAGTTCGAATCTCGTCTGGTTCAGAAGAGTCCGTTCGAGATTCAAACCATGTATGGGCAGGCCGAATGTACCCAAGTTGATAATTTGATCCAGCCTGTCGGATTATACATGTGTAGTTCTGCCCCCCATAAGACTTGCTGGGTTTGGGTCCCTCTCCAGGGCCCCCTCCCTGGCTCCACTCTCCAGCCTTCCTCTCAGTCCATCTTCCACCTGACTCTGAATCTATTCTTTAAGCTCTGTGATATTTGAGAGTTGTCCTGGTCACCATGCCCAGCCTCCTGCCAGGGGATTGGCTAAGGTCCCTCAAACATGTAGATCTAGGCCTTCTCCCCTCCTCCCTCATTCCAGAAAGTTTCTCTCAGTTACTAAATAGGTGAGAGGGCTCAGAAGCCCTGACCTGTAGAGCCTCCCAGTCCCGAGGGGAACTTCTGCCTCACTCCAAGGCTGCTACTCAGCATCTATCTAAAAAAAACCAAAACAAAATCAAACCTAACTGGCTAAACCTAGAGGGCGTACACATGCGATTATTGCTAGAGGCTATTTAAACCGCTAGCAGTAATCACTGTGTTCCCCCGGCTGGGACACCCCCCCCCCCCCCCCACCAGGAGAACACAATGTGGGAGGGATGCTTTCATTAACACTGACTGTGTTGATGGGGGAATCAAGCAATTTTCTTTCCTGCAACCCATGATTTTTCTGTTTGCTGACAAATAAAGTGGACTTTAAGTTTACTGAACTGTCTGACAAGAGCCTGATTACCCCTCTGATCCTATACAATCTAAATTTATACTAATTGCTGTTGCAACTTTACAGTCATCGATCGGCTTCTAGAAATGAGTGCCGGGTATTCCATTGCACAAATCTGTATGCTGCCGTGGTGCCATACTGTCAGAGAGAACACAGTCTTTTTGCAGAGGCCTGGATCAGGAGCATTCGGCTGGAGCACAGCCTTGCTTTCCTTGTAAGCTGTTTCAGCCAACTGTGTGTATTGTTACAGTTTACAAGGGAAGTTAATCTGCTGAGCTCCGAGGAGGAGAGAAGCCGCTGGCTCTGAGCAGGCAGCTGTCCCTTTCAGCTATGTGGCAGTTGCTGCGTCCAGGTTCCTCACTACATTCAAAACATTAGTTCTAAAGTTGGCCTTCTGAGTATAGCATTGGAGGAAGAACCTTTACTGATATAAAGGCCGCTAGTTACCTCCTTCTGAAAATACTAGTTGCCGGGCTGTTTTTGTCCTCGATATTTTGAGACATGGACCTGAACCAAGAATTCCAATCATGAAAAAAAGTGTGAAATCAGAGCTACTTTTCACCATACTTGTTCTGGGTCAGTGGCACTGAAGCTATTGGACCAGCATAAAAACCAGGGAATTAGTCTTGTTTAGATTAAGTGTGTGATTATTTAAACACTGAGGCTTGGGGTAAATTTGGCTTTTTTGGGGTTTTTAGTAGTTATAAAAAAAATGTCAGAATTAGAAATAATTATTTCAGGGTACACCATTGACACTGGGGGCTCAAATCAGTCTGGGATTGCATGTGTGCATAGCAAAAATTGTTTACTTTCAGGCTTTCTGTGAATAAAACATTGTAGAGAACCTATTGAGTAGACAGGTCCTCCTTACTTTGGGGAATTTAACCTATTTTTGCATACTTTTCATATGATCTCGTTACCCTGATCTTCTGTTAGACTGTTTGAGATTTCTGTGTTCTCTGTGTGTTCTACTTGCTGAACAAGTCAACATGTTATAGAGGACTATGCACGCTTCCCATCCACTTGACAACCTATGGCTTTGGCAAGTGACTGCTGAAAAGCTGATGTTGGTATCGTGTAGTGGGGTGTGTTGAGTTTCCTTATACCATGCAATTTCACCAGCATGTAGAAGTGATAGGGCAGCTTTGCAGACACCCAAACCACTTCTGCTAGAAAGCCAGCACAAAATATATAAACAAACTTGGTGGAATATATTCATGTATTTTGTGCAACAACTGCATCAGTATTTAGGAGAGATGTATACTTCAACCAGTAGATGGCAGTGTTTATAAGTTTGTGGCTGCATCTGTGGTTAAACTCTATGTCTTTTTTCTGAATAATAAAATTACCTGTTTCCTATTAGCAGTGAAGCTGCAGATAAACACATGTGGATTGTGCACTGGCTGTTCTGTAGGGCTATGTAGAAGATCTCTAACAAAACTTCTGGACACTATAGTGGCTTGTATTTTTTTTACATGCTGGCTCTGGAGCCGCTGTAATAGTTATGGGGGGGTGGTAGCAAAATGATAAAGTGTATATATAAACCTAATTGCTTTTATCCCATATGAGCTTTCACTTAATGTCATATTAAAGTTTTCATTAAAATTGAACTCACTGATTCTGCCATGAAGGTCCTTGTTCAGGCACTTATTCTTATAGGGTAATGCGGTCAATAAACAGACCAGGGTTAATACAGGTGGCAGAGGCAGCACTGCATTGGTGTGGCAGTGATCTGGAACACTGTTGCTGGCTAGACTGGTCTGGTGACACTAGCTATTTTGTAGTTGTGATCAGGAACACTGCTGCTGACTTATACTGGTCTGGTGACACTGGGACTGGTGTGTGGCGACAATCAGGGATACTGTTGCTGACTTACACTGGTGCGGTGACACTGCAACTGGTGTGGTGGTCTGGTAGGGTAACAGCGTTACTCTTCCATTTGTGGTCCTGCATTGTCACCCTGGCACACAGGCTAATGATGGCAGCAGAAACTTGGCAGCCTTCTAATGTAAATAAACAGCAGGTGTATGCTGTTAGAAGCCAATTGAAATCTGATTTTAGAATATGTATTGTGATCTTTAATCGTCTCTCACCTGGCTACTGCAAATAGACGGCTGGGTGAGAGCAGAATTATTCTGGTGGGACATACCTGTACATCCTCCCAAAAGAGTGCTTTGTGCCTGCCTCCGGGGTCAGACACCAAGCAGTGTCCCTAATTACTGCCACACCACTCACAGTGCCCCCGGTCACCGCCACAAAAGTCATATTGTTCTTAATCACCGCCACACCAGTTATAGTGTCTTGATCACCGCCACACCAGTTATAGTGTCTTGATCAGCCACACCAGTTATAGTGTCTTGATCACCGCCACACCAGTTATAGTGTCTTGATCACCGCCACACCAGTTATAGTGTCTTGATCACCGCCACACCAGTTAGTGTTCCTAATCACCAGCACACTAGTCTCAGTGTCACTAGACCATTAAATGCCAGAAACAGTGTTCTTTATCACTGCCACACCAGTCTCAGTGTAACCACACCAGGGTAAGCAAGCAACGGTGTCCCTGATTGTTGCCACACCAGTCCTAGTGTCACCAGACCAGTGTAAGTCAGCAGCACTGTTGCTGATTGCTGGTACACTAGTCCCCATTGTCTGCAGACCAGTTTAAGCCAGCAACAGTGTTCCTGATCATTTCTACACAAGTCTTAGTGTCACCAGAACAGTGCAGCCAACAACAGTGTTCCTGATCATTTCTACACAAGTCCTAGTGTCCAGAACAGTGCAGCCAACAACAGTGTTCCTGATCACCACCACTCCAATGCAGTGTTGCCTCTCCCTGCCACCTGGTCTAATCCTGGCCTGTTTATTGACCATGTTTCTGCTTCCTACCTGGACCGATCCTTTGCCTGTTTGCTGACCATGTCCCTGTCTGCACCTGAACTGACCCCATGTTCTTGCGAGACATCAGTCCCAGCTCCTGTGTACAACTGCACTCCTGGGACCACAGGAACACTTTTGTTCTTCCTTTGTTTAGCCTCCTGTACTTGCAGGCCTGTGTATATGTGTTCCTGGGACAGCCACGTACCAGTAGGCTAGGTTGGCTTGGCTTATAGGAGCAGGGGCTGCTATACAGTAGGTGACGCTAAGCTATATTCTCTGACCACTACAGTACCATTACAGTACATTTAAAAAAAATAAAAAATAAGAAAGGTAAAAGAAAAAGGTATGTGCTGCTATGTGTCTAAAACCCCCTAGAAAAGTAATATAACTACTGAAAATAGTGATATCCAACCAAAAAATACCTATATATACAATAGTCTGTTGTGATATGTATGTTAACCTCCCTGGCGGTATGATTTATTTCAGATTTTTTTTTGGTGCTGAAAGCGGTACCATTATTTTGCATGGAAATTTGGCATTTTATATTGTAGGCCTGTAATTCTTAGGAATAACTCACTGAAATCTGTCTGAACAAGAGTCTAGGGCGGGGCTTCTTTTGGATGTGACGTCTGGACGCTCCTCGTAGACTGTCGGCTGTGATATCGCGGTGAGCGAGGCTCGTCCCTGTTTTCTTGAGGCTGTCATTGCTGGTGTTGCCTAGACACCCTGTTTGTGAGTGCATTTCTGACGTTTTAATAAAACATTTTGGTTTTAAACGTACTGCACCATGATTTCCTTTTTTGATTCCCCGAACATGATCTATGGTATGGAGACGTGATGACTACCTGCTGTTAAAGGCTATTCCATATTGTGCTGACTGGCTGCTTGCAGTATATTGCTCCCAGTTTGGATTACTTCTGCTGATCATCGCTCCCAGAGCAAACGCTATCTTTGCTGACTTATAATCTGGTTAACATGGAGCTCTGGTGAGTGTACCCATTTCATTCGGTGGTGGATTTTTTTTACACGATGTTTGATTTATACAAGATTTCAGAACTGTTTAATTACTTTGTTATGGTGGATGGACTTTTATATAAAATTTTTTCTATCACGGACATCATTATTTTAAACTAATAATTTTTGTATTTACTTATATTTAGCGCACTCTTTGATTTTCACAAGTCTGCAAGTTATTTCACTATCGCTGTTCTCTAGCCGGTCTAAAAACCGCTTTTGACCTAAAGCGACACTTTTTGGACGCCATGGACATTTCTCAGTTTCCAGGCAATAAGAACAGTAAAAATGCAGGCAGGGCACAGGACAAAGCACTAGGGACAAAATGTATGTGAAATGGTTTGATACAGTAATGTTTTACTATGTGATTTTAGTGATTTTAGTGAATGTCACTTTTTGTCATTTTCAAATTTCCCACCGTTCCGTCCCCCGTACGTCCTGACGCTCGCAGGGGACGGAACCCAGAAGACAGATGGGTCGGATTACATCGCCGGGGACACTGCAGGAGGGACATCGTGGGAGCGCAGGACAGGGGAAGTGCAGAAGGGATCCCGGAGAAATGCTGCAGTGTATTCCCAAGTGTAGCTCGGGGTTACAGCTTATGGTACTGAAACTTTACCCCGAGCTACACAGGGAATACCGCCAGGGAGGTTAAACTGCAGTGAACTCACATAAATAAAATCATGTAATGTATAGAAAAAAGTTTTGATTTATTGATTTTTAAAGGAACAGCACACTATTTTTTCTATAAGTAGCACTACCCCCTTAGAAGATTTGGGTCCTCCTATAGCCCTGCACAGCCAGGCATCACACATCTACACATAAGCTTGCATCCAGAGTCAGAAATCAGTCCTTGAGCTTTGATTTTGTTGTTTTAGTTAGGGGATTTGGACTGAGATAGGGTTAGGGGTGTACAGGATGCCCAAGGGAACTGACAAACTGAGGACAACTTCCTGGAACTATTTACAAGCCTTCTCTGCTGTAAAGTCTCTGTTGGAGAGCTAGCCAGTGTCTCCTTAGTGTACCTACCCGAGACCCTAGATAAACTTCTCCTCTTCACCCAGCAATCTGGAGGTGTCCCTGAACAGGGGATCTGGTTCCTGTCACTCTAACAGTTGAATTGTCACTGGTATGTGGCTAATCTGGTTTCCCACCAGAATACTCCTTCCCCTATCAGCCCAGGGGGGTGTAGGTGTACTCACTCAGATCCTCTCCTGTACTGCATGTGGGTTGCTGGCTGCTACAAGGCCTATCAGCTGAGCCACTTTTTTTCCCTGCCATACAGGTGGTTCCCTCTCAGGGGGCCAGTGAGCTCTGAGTTTTCCCCCTTTCCAGCTCCAGGCCTGCAGGTAGGCCCATACCACTGGGCCTCCTTACAGCCTCCTTCCTTCAGCCTCACATCTTCCACCCAAAACTCTCCCTCCTACTATCCTGCCACTGAGCAGGCTCCTATAATTTTAAGGATGTCCAGCCCCTTTCCAGCCCCTTGTTGGGGATTGTCTAGGATCCCTCTAAAGTGCAACCAGCCACTCCTCGCATCCATTCACTGTTCCTCCAAAAGCAGGGGCTGGCCGGCAGAGCCTCTCAGCCCTGATCACAATTTGAACCCTCTCTGGCTATAACACCTGGGCTGCTGCTCAGCCTGTGTCTAACCACTGGATTTTAGCTCCCCCTAGCTAAACTAGGAGGGTGCTACATATACATCACATTACAGTACATTGGTTTTGATACAATTAGTTGATTTGTGTGATACATAAGCTATAATGTCCAGTATATAATCAGTTCAAAAAGTAAAAGTTTCACACATGTGATATCACCTATACTCAGTAGGAGTAGCAGAATGTATTTTGGATTTTAATTCTAAATATACCCATGCTGTATGTGAGTAATACCTTATTAAATTGACAGCTTTGTGTAAAAAAATATTTTCATTTTCATTCTGCATTTTCCAAAAGTCTTCAAAAGACTCCCCATGCTCTTAGAAAATACCTTGGGTGTTTGCTTTCCAAAATGTGACCATTTTGTGAGTGTTTCCAATGTCTTGATGCTCCAGGGCCTCCAAAAATGTGATAAAAATTAGAAATTAGATGTATAATCTATGGCCCTGGAATTCCTGAAGGTGCTCATTGGATTTTGGGCCTCTCTATGTGGCTAGGTTGTGAAAAAGTCTCATGCATGTGGTATTGCCATACTCAGGAATAGCAGAATGTGTTTTGGTGTATAATTCTAGGTATGCTTATAATGTGTGTTAGAAATATTTTATTATTGTGTAAAAAAATACAATTTCATTTTCTATCCTGCATCTTCCAAAAACTTGTGGCAAAAAAATTACATTTTCCAAAATCTTGCTATGCCTTTCAAAAAATACCTTGGCATGTTTGCTGTCCAAAATTGGGTCATTTTTTGGGTGTTTCCGTTGTCCTGGTTCTCCAGGGCCTCCAAAACTGTGATAGGTATTCAGGAAATTAGATGCATAATTTAAGCTCCTTGAAAACCCAAAGGTGTTCCTTGTATTTGGGGCCCCTCTATGCATCTAGATGGTAAAAAAAAAAAGGCTCACACATATGGTATCCCCATTTGAGATGCATAGCAGAATGTGTTTTGGCATATAATTATAAGCATGCCTATGCTGTGTGTGAGAAATAAAATAATAACTTTGTGAAAAAAACTAATTTATACATTTTACAATAAAGTGACAAAAAAATTACAACTTCAAAAAACCTACCATGTCTCTTACTAAACACCTGGGACTGTCTACTCTCAAAAGTTGGGTAATTTGTGAGGGGATTTCCATGGTCCTGGCATTTTATGGTCTCAGGAGATGAGATAGGTAGTCAGTCAATACATCAGGATTGATTAATTTTTAAATATATATATATATATATATATACAATAGTTTGTATACCTATTTCTGTATGGCCCGCATTTACTGCGAACAAGTGGCCAATGCAGGCAAAGGAACCTACTGGAATGTACCAGCCCCCCCTCCCTCCCCTTATGACTCCTGTTGTGATTGTACACAGTGGGAGCTGTCAGCAAGTCCCTGCTACTGATTCATGGCTGGGACTTACTGATTACACATTGTTAGGCACACATTTAACCCATTGAGTGCCCTTGATGTTAACCTCTTCTCATGGACAAATTTTATTTTTTTTAATTTTCTTCCATTGGATGTGTTTTTTATAGCATATAGTAAAAAGTATAGTTTTTTTTTTTATTTCAACATTTTTGGTCCTTTTTCATTGATATCACAAAAAAATTAAAAAAATCAAATACCACCAAAAGAAAGCTCTATTTTTGTGAGAAAAAAAATATAAGTTTAGTTTGGGTATAACGTTGCATGACTGCACAATTAACAGATAGTAGAGCAGTGCTAAACAGGAAAAAAAGACTTGGTTATAAAGGCAAGGATCTGTTTCCTGGCTCCTCTCTCCCCCTTCCGCACTCATGGAGAGCCAAAACCACCGGCAAGCTGCAGACCTTGTGTTTCCTCATAGTGGTGGGCATGTTTTTGGTGGCCAGCAGTATATGGGCATGCCCACGATATCATTTCTGTGTTGGGGCAGGGCTTCCAGCCATCATCAAATCCAGCTTCTGAACGCAGGGGGAGAGGGAAGGACCCCAGCCAGTGCCTATTTCTGGTTCTGGGCCTGCGCAGCTGCATTCTAGGATGCCAGGAACGTATCCAAACAGCGATGTGGACCTCTGCAAGCTCTGCAATGGAAGAGACAGGAGCAGCTGCAGTTCGGCGGAAGCAACGGCAAAGTCCAGGTAGGAGAGGGCTGTTTATTATGCTGCTTTCACTGTGTTTACTGTGTTTTTTGCTCCTGGTCGCTGAGGGCCTTTCTGTTCACTGGATCCTGCCTGGAAGGGTCAGTGCACACATGGCGTGGCATTAAGTTCTGGAAGTTTGGTGCACGTGGTGCTGGTGCTGTGCTTTAAGGCAAACAGGTCAGTTAATGAAGCTGCTTTTTCTGTTGTGTTTTCTGTTAGGCTAACAGTAGAGAGAGAGAATCTGAAAGCAAGAGGAGGTATCCTCCATGCAAGGATACGTTGTCAGATCCGTGGAAGAATACGTTATGTAAAGATTGAGTCCCTGAGCGCTAGTTAAGGATGAGGCTGTGGAAGCTTCCAGTGACTATTTGGCTGCTGTGAATGATGAATGGACTGCTACCTTACAGTCATTTAGGGACATGAGGGGGTCTTCCTCCCAGAGTTCCTTGGAACCCACTGCCACACCACAATCATCAGCTTCTTTTGGTGCAAGGTCAGGGATACCCTTGCCACAGGTTGCTCCCTTCCCGCTGTGCTCTAAAAGTCTCGGAGGAGGAAGATGGGGAGGAGGCTGAGCATTTCTCAGCATCTAAATACAAATTGTCGCTGGAAGAAGTGGATAGTCTTCTCAAGGCGATTCATGCCACCTTGGACATTAAAGAGGAAGAAAATAATTCAACTATTTCAGATATGGTAAAGAAGTAATGGCAGGATCTGAAAAGAAAACAGTCTTTTTTTTTAATTATTATATCCTTTATTAAATTTTCTTGTAAGAAAAAAAATACATTACAAAACCACCACATACCTTATTACATCATACATATAAACTTCATTCCCATATTCACCCCCAAAACACCCCTTTTTGAGATCCCACAAGAGAAAGTTCCCGTTTAAGAAGATAATTCATCAGTTTAGAACAAAGTGCTTAACCTGAACACAGCTTTCTCACAAGTCTCAGAGTACAGATTCAGCTTTCAAGGACATGGAAAGTTTGAGGGAGGCAATGGATAAAAGAATGGATTTGTTATTGAAGAGATCCTGGCAATCCATTATGGAAAATTTGAAGCCTGCTATGGCAGTCACCTGGGAGCCTGGAACAATGGTTAAACTGGCAGAAGGCGCAAGTTAGTGCAGAAACACCTAAGGAAGAGTAGTTTCCAACAATCTCTAAGCTGTGGGATATATAGCAGATGCTTCCACAGAATGCATACGTATGATGGCTCACTCAGCGGCACTATCTAACTCGGCACGAACAGCCTTATGGCTGAAGACTGGCAGGGGGTCTCAGCCGCTAAAGTAAGATTGTTCGGAATCCTTTTTTCAAGACATTTCCTCTTTGGGCCAGACCCGGAATCAATTTTGGATCGCAAAGTGGACAAAAAGAAGTCTTTAAGTAAGTATACACAAAACCCCAGCGCACAGGAATAACTCCAAAGCTTACACCCAGGTAATAGATTGCTGCTGTGCACAGGTAAAATAAACCCAAAAAATAAAAATAAAAAACAAAAGAGCGCAAATCAACACCCTTCCTCAATCAATAATTTAAACACCTTAAAGTGAAAAAATCAATAAAGGTGCCCTCAAAACATATTAATGTCCAAATCAATAAAAAAAGTATATAAGAAAAAGTCCTTTCTCCCAAACAAATGATGAAAGAAATGATGAAAAAATCAAATGTCCAAACCGAGATAGTGCTTCCACCAATCACCAGTGAAAAAAAACAATATCAGCCGCACTCACCAGATGAAGGTGAGTAATACACCTTTTAGGATGTATATGGATCCTAAGCCCCCTCTAAGCCTTCAAGACTCCCTTCCACCATGTAGAACTTGGGTTATTTCTTCCACTCACTCCTGCCTTATCCTCTCACCAAACTCCACAG